AACAAAACTCAGCCTCTCAAATTAACCTATAAATACATCACCAATCAACCTCTTTCAAATCATCCTTAAAAATGACATTATGAACGGCTAAGCATTTCGCGTTCACCTCCTGGTATTTTTGTCAAATAAACTAAAAATTTCCTTTTGTTACTTAATTCTACATCACTCACAATATAACCATATGCTAATTAATCTGATCTCAACCAATGATTTTTTCAAGATAATCATATATATAATCAACATCAACATGGAAGTCAATAACTCGTAATTACTTGCGCTTAGATCTTAACGCATTTATAGTAATTTGTCTTTGATTATTACTTTTCATTAAGAACATTGAATTTTACTATTTTGTTTGTACTTGTAATTATTAGGATAATTATAAATTTCACGGTGTTTTCTTGTCGAGTTTGTTGTTTTAAGTCGTAAAACATCATAGTGTATATCATTGTGTGTACCGTAGTCACTTTATTAAGTAGTGGAAACGCACAATTGACGAAACATACGATTTGTCCAACATGTAGTAATATTTTTTATTTTGATAGCACACTAATTTAATTGAAAGACGCCTTATTGTGTGTCTATTGTTGATGTTGAACATATTAATAGACTTAAGGATAATGCAAAAAAAATTTAGTGATTTCGGGAATTATTTAAAGAAAAACAATTTTCATGATTTTAGTGTCCCAAAAAAAACCAAGTGATCAAGTAATTATTTAAAGAAATATGGTTACTCTAAAATTATTTACAAAACTATAAAGTAACTTTTATTTGAGATTATTAAACTATTTATTTTTAAGGGGTAGTTTGTATTTTTTTTTTCAGAATGGCGGAAAAGGTAGTTCGTAGTTATGACAGCTTCTTAGGCAAGAGTGTGTGAGTCGGAGTTTGTGTTTTGACGAGTTGGAGGTATGAAAATGTGAGGGAATAGTTATGGAAGGTGGTAGAGAGATGCAACAAGTGTTGTTGTTGGAGAGAACATGGTGGTGATTGTAGGGATATTTTAAAACAGAAGTTAGCATACGTTGGGGAGTCTCTGGCACAGATTATGTCCGTCGGTTGTTAGAAATATCGGCGGTGTAGGCGGTGAGTGAGGTACGATACGAAGCGATGACAGTATAAAGATGGATGGTGGGAGTGGAATGGGTACAAGAAATCGGTGGTGGTGAAATTGACATAATTATACTGTCCTAATAAATTGACTATAGACCACCACCACCGATTTTTCATTTATCCATTTTACCACAATCAAACTAGTGTTTATACAATTATCATCCTCCCATGCCTTATTCACTTTCTACACCCCCATAGTTTCCAAAAACATACGAACATAATCAATGTCAAAGGTTTCGTAATTTGTGCAAACAGACTCTTTAAAATCAAACAAATTAGATTCAGTTGATCCCTAAACCCTATAACTGATCAGGTTACTCATCCCAACCACCCTCACCTTGTTCGTCCCTTACAACAACACTTCGTCACACCTGTTTACCACCTATTTTATTTGTTTTTGTGTTTTCATAACTCCAACTCCTCAAAACACACACCCGACTCAACACTCTTGCCTTAAAAAAACATTATAAGGTGTCCCATATAAAAAATGGAGTTGGTGAATTGTATGAATATCACATATTTTAATTGTATGCTTGTTGTTTGAGTAGCTAACATTAGAAATGGAAGATATTGGTAACATAGAGAGGTGCAACAAACCATCGTTGCCGGCGACAAACATGGTAGCAATGATTATGATGAGTGTGGTGGCACCAATTTTAAGGGTCATTTATATATATATATATATATATATATATATATATATATATATATATATATATATATATATATTAGAGGTGGTTTTCACAGCTTGTAAAGTCTTTGACATTGATTATACTCATCGTGTCTTGGAAACTCTACTTGTGAAAGTAATGAAGAAGTTAGGGTTAGTATAGAGATGGGTGGTCGTGGTGAAACGGATAGAGGAGGCTAGGTAAAAAATTCTTTCCACCACCCATTTAACCAACACCATTTGTCGATAGAGCTTATACTATCGTTGATTCCTCCCACGCTTTTGTTTTCAAGACTTCTTAGCTCATACAAACATATTCCTTGAAACCAAACAAAGATTATTTGATTCCTACAACTCTTATCTCTACTAGGTGGGGTCGCTTTGGGATAAAACCGAACCCAACCCGTCTATTTCGGTTTTTGGATTTTAGAATCTAATGGGTTCGGTTTTTCAGTTTCTAGAGTCGGTTCTCGGTTTATGGGTTCAACCCATGGGTTCATGGGTTTTGGAATCGTTTAACTATGAGAATCATCTGATTGTTTCAGTGAATTTTGTAAGATGTCAAAAAATAAAGGGCATGGCAAGGTGTTCTGGATTTGATTGTTGTTAAATAATTATTTTCTTTAGTTATTTACTTTCTATAATTGAATGTATTTTATGTTAAATTTAAATAACTGGCCATTGTATACTTATTTCTTTATCTTCTCCCGTTAACTTCTTTTATCTTAGAGAAACTTAAATTCATAATAGGTCCAATCAAAATCAAAAATCAAAACCAAAAACCTCTTAATCAAATCTAAAAAAATTAAAGTATTTTTTTCATATGAAGAACTAAATTTGGTAATGAATAGAGTAAATTACACGAATGGTCCCTATGGTTTGGGGTAATTTGCACGTTTGGTCCCTAACTTAATTTTTTTAACTCGGAAGGTCCCTAGTATTTGTTTTTGTTACGCGCTTGGTCCCTACTGTTTGTTTTTGTTACGCGTTTGGTCCCTATCTTACCTAAAAATACTATTATTTAAATAGGGAAAAATGGTGGGGCATGTAAGGTAAGGTGAAGGGGGGGGGGGGGTATGTTAATTTAAATAAATTAAAAAATCAAGGGAAAAAATAGTCTTTTTAGATAAGACAGAGACCAAGTGCGCAACAAAACAAACAGTAGGGACCTTCCGAATTAAAAAATAAGTTAGGGACCAAACATGCAAATTACCCTAAACCATAGGGATCATTCGTGTAATTTACTCTAATGAATATGTTCTGTTATGTAAGAATCGAATTTGAATAGACATTGTATTTTTTTAACGAAAAATATACCCATTAACGTTGAGGTTTGAGGAAAAAAAAAAAACCATGTCGGAACAGCCAAACAAAAAATAGTTTATTTTTTAAGGTGTTGTTTGCTTTATTAAGAAGACAAACGACACACAAAAACACACACAACCTAAGACTTTTTTTTGCACATTCTACATATGCTAGTTGTTAGGCCGGACGGAGCGGGCGCGGGGAACGGCAGCGGGATGCTTCCCGCCCGGCGGAACACCGCACCGTCGGCGCGGGGAAGCGTTGTGCGGGAAACGGAGAGGGGAGTCTCTCCCGCTCTCTCTCTCTTGCTGCGATTGGCTGGGAATTTTTTTTTCTTTTTTTCTTTTTTTTTTTTGAAAAAGAACCGTTAATCAACGGTAAAAATGTAATTTTTTTTTTTTGCTGTAACGGCTAATTGTGGTTTTTTTTTGTTTTTTTTTTATCATTTTTCCACTCCTATAAATACATACATATAACATCAAACATCACATTACCCTCTATTCTCTCTACTTTATATCAACAAATGGAAGACATGAAGTTTTTGATGGAAAACGTCGATCATCTCTCGGGACCGGCTCTCGAGCTCGTGATGAAGAAGAGGGAAAAAATTCTGAAAAAATATTTTCCGTAGGTCGTTGTTGGTTTGTTTGATTTTTAGTTTGTGTGTGTGTGTTTTTTTTTTTTAATTTTCTACTTTTTTAAATTTTAGGTTTAATGTAAGTTTTATTTTAATTAATGAAATGCTTTTTATTTTTAATTAAATTTTATGTTTAGTATTAATTTAAAAATTATAATTCATAACAAAAAAATTAATTTTATTTAATAAAAAAAAAAGTGAGAGAATGGCTTCCCACCCATTCGTTGGGTTTTAGGCGAGGGAAAGAAAATTGAGGAAAATGAGGGTATGGCCCACAAAAAGTGAGGGAAGCTTCCCTCCCACTCCTTCCAGTCTTAGAAAGGAAGGGGGAAGAACTTGTAAAAGGGACAGAGGACAAAGATTCAACACAACACACATTATCCCTTTTCCAAAAAGACCAATATTTGATAATTAAATATGATATGCATTGGTACAAAGTTTTGATAATTAAATATGTACCAATATTTGGTACAAAGTTTTGGTTTTTATAAAATTAAATTATACTCCTATGTTTATTATACCATCAAAGGTGAACCCATTAATGTGATAACTTTTATTTATATTCACTAAACTCATTAATGTGATTACTTTTATTTAAAATCACTAAACTCATTAATGTGAAGGGTTATTGTTTGTAATTTGATGTTTTTTAGGGTAATATTGTTTGTTAAAACCCAAACCTGACTAGCATAGTATAGCCCTCGAAAAGAATAACCCTTCAAATTACATGGTTAAATGATTTTAAACTAAAGGAATCGTGAACTCACATACCTGAAGTAAAAACAGTCAGATATGTGAAACAGCAAATCAACAGAGTATATAGAACACCAACATTTTACTTGGTTTCCTAACAAAATTTCATCTTTAACCTCAATGCAGATTGCAGAACAGAACATATGTCAGTGAAGATAATCAATTAAGCAACTCAAGATTCAAGAAAAAACAAAGGTTAGCGACCAAATTGTTCAAGAAAGAGTATCAATTATCATGGTCTACCACCAAATTGTTTTTCTAAGGCAAAGACATTGAATAGAAGTAACTACAACATTCATACTCTTATCTAATAATAATTACTCTTACAGTTAAAAACATCCTCTTCCTCTTCCATGGAAATCATCAAGATATTATGTTTATATATACTTTCTTTTTTCAGCATGCATAAATGGGAGAAACGCAAATAGGTAATGCTCACCATTGTCAGTCAGAATCACTCAACGATAAACACCATCAGATGCAAAGCTAACCTTTTTCTTAACGCATGGCAAAACAGAGAGGTTAACTGTAAACATCATCATCAGAAACTGTCCTCTTTGCTTGCTTTATCTTCTCCAGCTGAACCTGTGTATCCATGAACAATTGCATCCTCTGAACTTCCAAGTCTTTTGTGAATTGCATCCTCTGTTTCTCCAATTCAATCATCTGTTTCTGTTTCTCTCCCTCAACCCTCTCGTATATCTCTCCGAATCTCTCAATAGCCCTTGCCAACCGCTTCATGCACTCGGAATCCCCTCCTCCCTCCTTCCTCACTCCTTCCCCACCAGCACCACCTTCTTCGTCGCTCGTCCCCAGAGACTCATCATCCTCTGATCCATCCTCCTCCGCGGCTGCAGCAGCGGCAGCAACAGCCGAGTAATTCCTCCGAAAATACGAGTCATCCACGGCCGCAGCCACTGGAAGCGGTCGTTTCTGAGGGAGAACCGCGAGAGGCTGGGGAAATTGAGAAGACAATACCGTCGACGGAGGTTTCCGGTAGGGTAATGGAACGGCCGTCGGCGGTGATGACGATGAAGACTTCTTCGCGGTTGCAGCGGATCCGATTAACGAGTCCAGACGAGAGTAAAACGGCCAAGAACTGGTAATTTGGCCATTGGATTCCGAAACCCTAGCTTTCTCAACCTTATACTTCTTCTTGAGAGTGTCGATCCGATTTTTGCACTGAACGTCTGTACGCCTTGTTTTCTTGGTATGGCCGTGACGGGCGTTGACGGAATCGGCGACCTCCTGCCAATCCTTTTGACGGAGGTTACCACGGTTGAGCTCAAGGTAACGGCGGCCCCAAGCGTCGACGAGAGTCGACGTCGCATCCTCGCTCCAACAATCCTCACGGAAAGGGAGCGGACGAGATGAATTAGGATGGTTTCCTCCGGCAGAGGCGACCGGAGACGGAGAATTGATCAAAGCTAACTCGTCGCCCATCTAGGGTTTGTTTATCGGTGAAATTTTTGGGGGAAAGATAAATAGAGAGAGAGAGAGTACAAGTGGGTGAAGCGTCGGTGTCGGTACCGTTTCCATCCATTGTCTGACTGGCATCTCTTCGCCGATGTACGGCTCCAACTCCGACGTGGAACTGACGTTATGTTATCTGTCGCTTTGTATACTTGTACATGCCATACTCGCTTTACTCACTTGTACGTTTCCTTCCAATATTTTCCCAAATTTGTTTTTGTTACCTAATAAATATAGATCATTAATATATTAAAACAAAAATGCTTATGAATATATAATTTTATGGTTTTGAACTTTGGCCATTAAATTTTTTATTTTAGATTTTCGTCATAAAATGTAGTTTTAACTTTTAAGGTTTTCCATTTTGTCTATAAAAATTTGTTATTTTAGACTTTGTTTGGCCATAAAAAAAAAAATTATTTCAAACTTTAGACACAGTTTATTTATGTCCGTAGATTTGGTCCTTTTATTTTCATATGTTCACACTTGGCACCCTGTTATTTTGTCGAATGCCACTTTTTACCCCCATACTTTGTAAAATATTAGTTTTACACCCTCAAATTTGCACCGACATTTTCCACCATTTACCTTTTTTGTTATATTGTCATGTTTGCAGGGTTGACTAGGGGTGAGCATTTGGACCGGACCGACTCTTGGACCGGACCGGTTTCGGAGAATATTGCGGACCGTGGATTGGACCGGATGAGACTTATCGGGTCTAGGTCCAGGTCCGAGTTTTCCAGTTTTTTGACCCGTTTGGATTGGTACAACTTTATATGCATATGGTAAAACTTGTTAAAACACGTTTTTGGGTTTAATAAATGAATATGTTGTTGCGTTTGATACATTACAACTCGTTAAAATGAATATTTTTTGGGTTTGATACATTACAACTCGTAAAAATGAATATGTTTTTGTTTCTTATGCCATTTGGACCGGTCAAAAAGTATGATTATTTATACTTTATACCATTTGTTTGAAGGATTGTAACTCATTGAATATTACACCAAAACAACAAAATTATAGTCTAAACTCATCTGGTTTTGTTCAAATCCTAGAATCGAGAACCGGTCAGGGGGTCCAAAAAAACGGTACGGTCTGGTCCGATTCACAGGTCCAAATACTCACCCCCTAGGTTTGATAACACCGTAGTTATTTATTATTACAAGTAACTTATTTAGGTGGCCTAAATAATATATAATATTAATAGGGTGTTTGGATAAATTAGTTTATAGCTTATTAGCTTATTGCGGTGGGAATAAGCTGTTTTTGCAAAAATGTTTGTGGCGGGAATAAGCAATAAACAATAAGTAAGGGGAGAGATGCTTATTAAAATCAGCTTATTTAGCTTATTCCTACCACAATAAGCTGATTTTTAAGGATTTCTATCCAAACACTTAAACTTAGCTTATTGTGGTGGGAATAAACAATAGGCACCTTTTTTTCCCTATCTAAACACCCCCTAAGTTTAGAGATCCAATTAAAAAATAAAAATCGGTTATTCAAACCAGAAAAAATAAAATACTAGGTTGTTATAGTTTATTAATCATTTCTTTTGGGCTTTAATTCTCTCAACAATGTCATTGTTACGTGTTAACAATTCTTTTCCTAATTATTATTTATAATTTATACTATGTAACAATGAGGGTTTCAAATTCATGTGTTGCAAGAGTTTCAGAATTATTTTTATAAAAATTGATTGCGTTGGAGGAGAATGTGTGTGGCAAAAAAAATAGAAATAGCAATATACTTTTAGTTTTTGCTCACACATACACACAACCATGGACACACATGACCAAGTTACACATACACATACACACAGACATAGACATTAGACATTGTCACATGCAAGCAGCCACACACACAACCACAAACACATACATAGTTATATTATTGTAATTTAAAAACTCCACTAACTATAAAAAGACATAACTTATAGTAGGATTATATTTGAAATAAATTACTATTGTATTTTGAAAACCCACTAACTATAGGAAAACATAATTTACACAAGGATTATGAAAATGATAAATAAAATGCTATATTGGTATGTGAAAATGAATATTTAAAATAAACTAATAGGTATATGTTTTCACAAAACCTACATCCATGAAAACGAATATGTAAAAAAAATAACAAACGAATTTGAAAAAAAAAAAAAAAAAAAAGGAAAAATCTGAATAAGTATACACATTTTCAAATAATGAAAATAAATTGTCAAAAATAAAATTTGATTTATGATATATTGCTAAAATCAATATAAAGGATAAGCTATCTAAAATAAAAATTGACATAAAGACATGTTGAATACTTGAGTTGGAGTAAAATCACGAAGGGTATACACATGCAAAACATATTACACAAAGAGATGCGATATGAACCTTATTGCTACTAGAAGAAATTTAGTTCATCGGGTATCACATTTCTATTGTATGTTGATAATACGTTAATTGCTTATTCTAACATGAAACAAAATAAAAATAAATAATGAAAACACAAGTGTCTCAATTCTAAAATGTTGAAGATGAAGGACTTGAAGCTAAAACAATCTATTAGTATGGATCTTAAGGAACTCAAAAGTCTTTTACTTTTGCCATGAATCTAACACATACAAAGCATATTCATAGGTCCAAAAATGAACAAAAATCACCACCTCTCATTATCTTTCCATCTATTCGCCTTTTTTTTTTCTGTACAATCATCAAATCTAACACAAGAAGGAATTTGGCTTCTCTCCTACACCATATCCTCAAATAATAACTTAAATTCAGTCTTCAAATATCAAGATTCTTCAAATCCATCTTCTTTGCTGTGTTTTGTATCATCTCCTTCCTCGCATCAACCTATATATATATATATATATATATATATAGATATATATATATATATATATATATATATATATATATATATCTATATATATATATATATATATATATTTTGTACCCAACACATCAAACATCAAAATAAGGATAACAAGGGCATTCACGTCTTTTCCAATATAATTTGAATCTTACCCTGGCACCCATAAGGCTAGAAAAGGTAACATTTGCTTCACCTGCATCTTCAACCACCATTTTCTTCAATAGCCTTGTCTTTGGGTCCATAGTAGTTTCCCATAATTGTAATGGCATCATTTCCCCCAACCCTGCATTTTATACAAAATTCACTAAATGACCATTTTACCCTTACATTCCAAAGAAAACATTAAAAACCAAATGAAAGAAAGCTTTCCCTTTTTACAAGTTTGCTAAATCTGTTTACCTTTGAACCTTTGAATAGTATATGATGCATTTGAAGGGAAGGAACTCTGAAGGGTTTTAAGTTCTGATTCATCATAACAATAAAATGCTTGCTTCCCCCTCTCTACCTGAAATAATCACCAAAAATAAATTAATTTTTATGAAAAGAACATTTTTATATTACTAAAAAAGAAAATGCAAACCTTATATAAGGGTGGAACACCAACGTATATGCAACCTTCATCAAATAAAGCTCTCTAAAAAACATGAAAAAACACAAACTCAGGCTCTGTTTCTTCCAAAAACAAGTTATTTTTGGTAATATAAATATAAAACAAACAGATTATGTCTGATGATATTACCTGATATCTATAGAAAAATGTTAACAATAATGTACGAATATGAGCACCATCAACATCTGCATCAGTTAAGATGATGATTTTATGGTATCTTAGACCATCTTTTTTGAAATCCTCACCCTGAAAACATGAAAATCGAGTAAAAAGTGAAAAAAAAAAATGAAAAGTTAACAAAAGGGAAATGAAAATATAAATATAAACCTTGACTCCAAGTCCAAGGGCACGAATTAGGGTTTGAATCTCTTCATTCTTGTACATTGCAGCTTCATCCTTTCTTTCAACATTCAAAATTTTACCCTTTAATGGAAGAATAGCCTGAAAGTTCTTATCACGACCTTGTTTAGCACTTCCACCTGCTGAGTCTCCTTCAACTAGAAATATCTCTGCAGATTTTTAGAAAAAAATTTATTACAATATTGTTTATTTCTAATTAGTTAAAAAAAAACAAAAGGAATTAAATATTACCAGCTATTTCAGGATCTGTGGATGAACAATCTGCAAGTTTTCCTGGAAGAGATGAGACTTTCAAAACACTCTTCTGTCTCTCCAAATCCCTTGCCCTCTTTGCTGCTAGAGCTGCCTAGTGACACAAGGGCAAATTTGTAAAAAAGTTAAAAAGAGTTGGATTTAGATTAGACTACATTACATAATATGTATAGGGGATATTTTTCATACCTTTAAAGCATTGAGGGATTTGGAGAGGATTTTGTCAAGTACATCAGGATTTAGCTCCAAGTATTCAGTAAGGAATTCTTGAAGTGAAGAATCAACAATCTTTCTCACTTCTGGATTTCCTAATCTTGTCTTTTTTCAAGAAAATGAAAAGTGGGATAAAATTATTATTTTTTTAGTAAAGAAATGACAGGTGTATTGTGTATGTGGAAGGATTTTTTGATAACTGAAGAACATTGATTATGTTAGAGAATAGAGATTAGAGATTACCTTTGTTTGGCCTTCAAACTCGGGATTTGGAAGTTTGACTGATATTACACAAGTCAACCCTTCTCTCACATGCTCACCACTTAAACTGATGTCTTTTTCCTGAAGCCATGGTAGTGTTTGGTATGATGGAATCAGTGAATAAATGGAATGGTTTATTCCAATGATGAACAATAGCAATGAAAATAATACCTTGATAAGCTTTGACTTCTTTCCAAGGTTATTAAGAGTTCTTGTTAATGAAGCTTTGATACCATCTATGTGGGTCCCACCATCAACTGTACGTATGCTGTTTGCATACCCAAGCATTGTATCTGAATACGCATCTGAACACCTATTCAAAGCCAACCCAATTTAGATAAAGATTTATCATTTTCACATTTTCTATCAAGTATTTTCATTTTAGGTAAGATTCCAATTACTTCATGTA